TGGTCGCGATGGAGCGGATGGAAGATCTAACGGCTGCTTGGCTCGAAACTGAACCTGGGGCTCAATGGATGGTCAAGGAGGGCACCAAATCCTTCAATTGTGGACTCTTCCGCGCCCAGCAGGTCTTCCGCGACAAACTGGCTCAGCTCCCCAAAGGATTCACTCTCCCCGACCTCGGCTTTCCCCCTCCTTGCCGCTCCCTGGCCGAGTTCGACCCCCGCCCTTATTTGAACGAAGGGAGCTCAAGCGCGTCTGAAGAGGAGGAAGGAGGAGAAGAAGACGGCCCAGGCGATCAAAATCCGGGGACTAGCTTAGCCACATCCAAGGCGGGTGACAACCCTAGCTCGAGCGTTTAACCTCCCCCGTTGTTCCCCCAGATTTTTGTAAACACTTGTTGTTGTTTTTTTTAAATGACTCATCATTTTGATGCAATGCTCACACGCTACCTGATTCGTTGGATCCACTACGTGCTTCCTTTTTCGGCATTTTACTCTTTTCTCTAGCTTAGCTGATTTGCATGTATGTTTTAGTTTGGGCCCAACTCCTAATTCCGGCCCACTTGTCTGCCCAGGCCCAATCCCAGGATTGGCCAGCGCGCCGCCCAACTGACCCAATACCTTTCACAATCTCTGATTGGACCTTCGCGCGGCTCAAAGCTGCTTTATCCATTCAGCTGCCTTGAGGCCTGACCGTCTCTTCGGTTCCTTCGCCTGGGCCTATTTATAAGCCCCTTAACCCTCATTTTGTTCCATCACCAAATAGTTTCCCTTTCTTCATTATTGCTATGTCTGAAGGAATTCCTGTCTCCTTGAACCTTTCCGATGGGCCGGCTCCTTCTTCGCCGGAGCTTGCCTCCTCCCCCAGGTCAGTCAATTCTAATGACTGGGGGGGGCTAGACCCATACGAATTCTGTCGCCGGCAGTGGCCATCGGTGAAACCGCCGCCACTACCACCAAACCCTTATGATGACTTCAGTGAAGCATACAAGGCCCTCTCCGCCAACCGCCTGCCTGACGGAAGGATTGACTGGGACGCTCCATGCCCCCTCCATTCCCTGCAATACATGGCCTGGGAGAGCTTTCAGGATGAGCACTTACCCCTCCTGGAGCATGAGTGCGCATACTACGCGAGTCTTGAGCGATGGACTGGCGAAAGTCGCACCAGTTCGCCGGTGAGGCCTAAGGAGGAGGTTGTGTTGGGGGAAGAACTGGGTTCCAGTCCACCTCGCCCCTCCGACCGTTCAACTTCCCGGAGAACCCGTAGGCGACCTGGAGTAGCTCGATCGGCTTCAGGATCTCCATCCTCATCTAGGTGATGCTGGTTGGGGTTCTGGGGGCGACCGACCCTGTTCCGCGTCGGGGAAGAAAAGTGGTCGTCCCGGACGGCCGGTGATCGGAGTTCCACCGGCCCATGGAGCTGCAGAACTAACCTTCAAACCTGCCTGTCCCCCCTAGGCCTTTTGCTCGCAAAACTTTAGATTGTTCCTTTTGCTATAGGAAAAGTATGGAAAAGTATCCCTCCTTTATGTAGAGATTGTTCTCAAATGTATTGTAGCAGATGCAAAAGATTATCCTTGGAATGTAACAAACACTTTTTTGAATGTATTTTGATGTTACCTGTTTACTTACAAGTTCCATCTTCTTCTCTTTCGCATCCCACTTTAGACGTTCAGGTTTCCTCTGACTTAAGTCAAAGAACACCTCGCCTTTTTTGACTTAGCCATTTCCGGGTTATTTTAACCTCCTTCAGCGTCGTCATATCTCCCAGACCCCCTGGTCACTCATGCGACCAGCAGGCCTTTACATTCCTGACTTAGCCGTTTTCTTGGGCTCCCCTGCCTCGGCGTCGCCTCCAACCTTGGTCGCTTGACAGGGTTCGACGCTTCACCCACTACTGGGTATCTTAGCACGAATCACCATGCAGTTTAGGCTTAGCGATCTCTTTCGGTCGCTCCTTTTTTTTTTTGAGAATTGAAGACAAGACATGCCAGAATGCTGGTTTTATTAAACTACAAGATAGAAACATAGCTGGGATACAATCTACTGATAGAATTTAACAAGGTTGGCGGCATTCCACACTCGAGGGACGTCGCCTCTGGTTGGAGTTTGTAATCTAAACGTCCCATCAGCCAAAACCTCCTTTATGATGTATGGCCCCTCGAAACTTTTAGCAAACTTCCCTCCATCGGTCGGTCGGCTGACTTCCCTTTTCCGAAGGACCCAGTCGCCCACCTGGAACTTCCTTGGTCGTACCCGCTGGTCGTGATATGACTTGACCTGTCGGCGGTAATTTTCTGCTCGCATGTATGCCCTTTCCCTTCGCTCATCAANTGACGATCATGTCGTCCACATACGCTTCCATGCATCCCCCTAATACTGGTGCGAACAGCTTGTTCACCATTCGCGCATAAGTAGCCCCAGCATTCTTCAAACCAAAGGGCATCACCTTGTAACAGTACACCCCATTGGGGGTAATGAAAGCGGTCTTCTCTTCATCCGCCACGGCCATCTTAATCTGATGGTATCCACTGAATGCGTCCATAAAACTCATCAGCTCACACCCTGCCGTCTCATCAACCAACTGATCAATGTTGGGGAGAGGAAAAGGATCCATTGGGCAGGCTTTATTTAGATCGGTGTAGTCGACGCACATCCGCCAGCTATTCCCTTTGGGTGCGAGGACTACATTTGCCAGCCATTCCGGGTAACGGACTTCCCGGATGTGCCCAATGGACTGCAGGGTGGTCACCTGCTTGGTGACAAACTCTCTCCGTTCTGAGGAAAGAAAACACTTCTTCTGCTTGACCGGCTTGTGGGTCGGATCCACTGCGAATCTATGGCAGATGATCTTTGGGTCGACCCCTGGCATATCCTCTGGCCCCCAAGCAAATAGCACCTTGAATGCTCGGAGAACCTCCAGTAGCTGCTCCTTTAATTCAAGCGGCAAGGTCTTGCCTACCTTCACCTTCCGCTCTGGCTCGATCGGGTCCAGAGAAACTTCCTCGACCTCTTCCGCTGGCTCAGCTCGCGGTCGCCCCTACTCCTTCTGGATTGCAGCGCAGATCGTGCTTACATTCTCGTCGACCCGGGCTTGGCTTTTGGTCTCCCTGACGTAGCACGACCGTGACAGGCTTTGGTTTCCCTTGGCCACCCCCACTCCCGTGGGAGTGTTGAACTTTAGGCATAGGTGGGCGGGGGAGATTACACACTCCAGATCCTCCAACCCTGGTCGTCCCAGAATCAAATGGTGTGCACAGTCGAGCTGCACTACCATAAATTCCATGTCGATCCAGAGCCGGTGGGTGCCATATCCCACCCCGGCCTTCACCGTGATGGTTCCTTCAGCCTCTATAGTATCCCCTGTGAACCCTGATAGTGGTGTATGGATTGGTTTCAGGTCGCTCCGGGACAATCCCAACTCCTTAAAGGTGTTTCTGTACATGACGTTGACCGAGCTACCCGTATCGACCAAAGTTCGATGAACAACCACATTATTGATCTCCACCTTTATCACCAAAGCATCCCTGTGAGGGCTGAGGACCGGGGGATAGTCCTCGTCTGTGAAGATCAGAGGTTCCTTCTTCTTCCGCTTAGGTAGCGGCGGCCTCTGTACCTCGGCCAGGTACACCATGTTCTTCCGCTTCCTCCGGGAGGACACTGAATCTCCTCCCGTGTTTCCTCCCATGATGAACCGACACCCCAGGTGTCGGCGACCTTGCCTTTCTTCTTCATCTAGGTCCTCACAATCTCGCCCTAGATGTCGCCGCCCATCTTCCTGCCCTTCCCCCGCTGTGATCGCTGCCGCGGGGGCTGATGGCCTCCTCCAGGTCCGGTTACTCGAGGACGGTCGGTCCGACCGAGGAGGTGGCCCTCTTGCAATCAGCTGATCCATCTCCTTTTTCAACGTAACGCACTCCGACGTATTGTGGGTGCTATTACGGTGGTACTCACAGTATTTGGGTGCATCTTGCACACCATAGCTTTCCCGACTATGAGGAGGGGTAGGCAACGGCTGTACCGCGTGAACAGGATGTCTGTTCGCATGATACCCGGTAAGGTTTGGCCCCTTACCATAGTCCTTTCTCTTCTTCCCTTCTGCCACCGGTGGCCCGCTTTTCTTCTCCTTCCGGACTGGTGGCTCATCATCTTCTTCTTCTAACGCCAAGTACTTCGCCCTGGCCAACATCTCCTGGTAGGTTGAGAGAGGATTCCGTTGCAGCTCCTTGCGCACGTCCCCTTGGGGGAGTGCAGCTTGGAGCATGGCGATCAGGGCCTGGTCGTCCGCCCCTTGGATGTCCCTAGCCTCCTTCTCCCACCTATTTATGAATTCCCGGAGCTGTTCCCCCTTCCGGATCTTCACGTTGAGCAGATGCGAGAAGGGGAGCTTCTGCCTCCGGCTGGATGCGAAGTGCTCCAAGAACTTGTGGGCCAGGTCGCTCCA